TCTCTCTCTCTCTCTCTCTCTCTCTCTCTCTCTCTCTCTCTCTCAACTATTTAGTGCTCCTTGTATGTACAAGAGTATAGGATTTACCACTCAGGATTGGATAGTTTATAAAGGGCTCATCCCTGGAGAAAACTGATTCTCCCTTCCTCAGCAGCCACTATCTGCCCATCTGTCCATAGCTCCTCATCTAGTGGTATAATTCATATGCCATAGGTCCCAAGTTCATTCATTTATTTAAGTGCTAAAAGGGAATGATATTTGCCTCTAAAATAATATATTTAAATCCTGGTCCCTCAGTTTGTGTTGACCAAGCCTCCTAAGATATTGTTAAAGGCAAATTGGGATTCAGATTGATTATGAGGGGTTTTCATGTTCCCTTTTTAGCAAAGTTATTTATAACACCTGATGACAATGTTGAATGTGTGGTTGCAAAGTTAGGGTTAGGCATCACCTCCCTAGGCATCTGATTAAGTGGGAGTTGACATTTCCTCTGCTCTGAATTGCCAATAAGAGCTGAGTCTGTCACAGGTGCTACAATTTGTACTGCAGAAAAATCTGCTTCCCTAACAGTAATTATCCCCAAATTAACCCAATCTGTGTAAAGTATTGAACAGAGTCAGCACTTTTCTGTTTATCAGATCAAGAACTTTGATGCAAGTTAGAAATTTTGTCTTCTACCTACATGTTGTAAAGAAAATAGAATTTTAAATGGAGGGATTTCTTCACTTTTCAATATAAATCAGTCCTCCGTTTTCTTTTAAAAATATTTTATTATTTTTACTTTTTTTCCCAAACATTGACAGACTTTATTGTGGGGGGATTCCCACCTGGGACTCACCTCTTAAATAAAAAAGCGTGTAGAAAAGAAGGGATTTAGAAACTTTTGCACAATATCTACATCCTGGGTCCCTAGGGCAGGAAGGGGGCAATTGCTGGATGGGCTGGAGGGGTGGAGGCAGGGCCCTTGCCCCACTACATGCCCACATCTTCCATGAACAGGAGGGTGGGAGTGCGACACTTTGAAAAACTAGGGAGTCACAGGCCAGGGTGAGATGGCGATGGACATATGAAGAGTCTGGGGCAGCCATGGCTTCAGTTAAGGAAGCGATGGCAGTGCTTGGCGCCACAGTTCCAGGGCAGCTTGTTGCTGGCATCTTCCACGGGAAATTTGTAGTCATAGGCGAGCTCCTCACCTCACAGGCTGTGCCGAAGGGCAAAGATACCAATGTATTTCTGGCCTTCCACGTGAATAACACGAGAGAAGCAGTTGGGCTCACATAAGTGGTTGATGAAGCAGGCAGCATTGCCGTGCATAGTGGCATCCACCACATCAAAGTCATCCATGCGGAACGTGTAGCATGTATAAGTGTAAGTGTACTCGAGGTCAGAACACTGGCGTCGGTCCCTGGGAACTGGAGTTACAGATGGTTGTTAGCTGCCATGTGGGTTTGGGAACTGAATCTGGGTCCTGTGTAAGAGCAGCCAGTGCTCTAAACCGCTGAACATCTCTCAAGCCTCACAGTTCTTTAGTTTCATTTTTCTACTTTGAAATCAGAAAAAATGATGCTAAACATCTTGATAGTCATCACCTCAATAATGAGACAGACGATGCTTCTTAGATGGGAGTAAGGTTTGAATCTAAGTGTTTAATCACTTTGGAGTTTTAATCACTAATGGAGGATAATGAAAATGGAAAATCTTAAGCCTGAAATTGAGAAACAAGAGTAGGAATGACATTTTCTTATTAACTATTAATGTGTCTTTCAAACTACAGAAGCATTTAACATATTTGCGATCAACAGTCTTTCCTTTCCACAGAGAGTAGAGAAAGATTGCAGAAGGTGCGGCTCCTCTAAGCGCCAGTATATAATCACCTAGGGAAGTTTTTTTTTTATATTATTTTTCTGCATAAGAGAGTATGTTCCTTTTTGCCAATTCAGTTCAAAACCCTATGGAAAGTTTGTTCTACATATCTCATTGCAGAGGCAGTTTTCTTAAAATTGGCTGATGTGAACCAGTTCAATTAGAGAATCCTTGACCTTTGAAATCCATAAGAAGTGATTGTAGTTATGAAAATGCTTCTTAAGCAGTTGATTTTGTTGGGTGACTTAGGAAATATGCTCTTTAGAATATTTTTAAATAAGATTCTAAATCTTTTGGTATGTCTTCTTCTTTGCCTTAATGCAGCTCTACACATAGAAATAGTTAATTGAACTGAGAAATGAATGTGTTTACTGTTAATTGCTTAACCTTTGAATTTTAAGTACAATTTTGTATTCTTATAGGATTATTTAACCATTCATAAGTATGGCAACGCAGCCAGAAATGATCTTTGGAATACGTTGTCAGAGGTAAAGTAAAGGAAGCTGAAATATCAAAATAACTGTATCAGCATCTGAAATGCCTGAAATGACTTTAAAAGCCAGTATTAACTTTTATTGATACTGCCTATTTGTATTTACCTTTTATGTGTCTGTTCCTTTGTTTTGGTCTTTTTGAGACAGGGTCTCCCTGCAGCCCCAGCTGGCCTGGAACTCATTCTGTAAACCAGGGGAACCTCGATCTGACAAAGACCAGCATGCTTTTGCCTCCCCAGTGCATGCGCTACCCCTCCCAGCTTGTATTTACATTTTTTTATTTCCTCCTTCTTCATATTGCATTGCTGTTTTATTTTCTATAGCCTATAAAAAGACAGGGTTCAAAACATTTTAACTACACATGTTGGTGTTAGATCCTTGTCTTCTTTCAAACATGACACTATTTTTAATATTATTTTTTATTGATTGAGAATTTCATACATGAATATAATGTGTTTTGATCAAATACACATACCCTCCATTCCCTGACATCCAGTTCCTTGCCTATTTTTCCCACTCTCAATTCCCTATGCTCTTTTTTGCTTAACTTACACATTCCACTTAGTGCTGACAGTATGTGCATGGATATGGGGCCATCTACTAGAGCATGGGTAGCCTCTTAGAGGTGGCATCCCTGAAGAAAACTGACTCTCCCTTTCCCAGTAGCCATCAGTTGCTACTAGCTTCTCACCTAAGGATAGGGTTTCATGAAGACATCCCTCATCCGTCCTGGGATTTTGACTTCCTTGATCTTGCACAGGTCTTGTGTATGCAGCATGACAATATTTTGAATGATAATTTTAATGTTGTATCAGAGATTCATGATAAAGAGAGAAATATTGAAGCTTTAAGGAGTATTTATTACACAGTCGTAGACCTATTGTATGAAATGATGTTAAAAGTGCTTGTTTTAACAATAAATTGTATTTTATTTCTTTTATATCAAAATTTTAATGTGAATAAAACTAAGCCACACACACACACACACACACACACACACACACACACGTAGCATAACATTAAAAGAAGTTTAAGGCAAGAAGCTTATTTTATTTTTACATAATATTATTTTTGCTGATTTTAGTTGTTTTCATGTTGAGGTATAGTGTAATGGTAAAGGGGACTTAATGTTAACTACATTTACAAGATATGTTTATAAAATTAATTTGTACAATTTTGGTTGCAAAGGCTTTAAAAAGGAATGGAAAGTATGTGAATATACAAGAAGTAATGGATCAGTGGACACTCCAAATGGGTTATCCTGTTATCACCATTTTGGGAAATACAACGGCAGAAAACAGAATAATAATCACCCAGCAACACTTCATTTATGACATCAGTGCTAAATCCAAAGCACTTGAACTTCAGAATAACAGGTACAACCCTCCTTTTACCTTGGAAAACACTCTTATTTTTATATTTCACTTTGCGTGCTTAATAATTTAATTATTGTTTTTGAGAAAATTCTGAAATGTTGTAAGTGGAATACAGCTTTAATTTATTTTGAGGTGTTATTTCATTTTGGTTCTTTTTTTGTTCCCACTTCATGAAAATTTTAACCCTCAATGTAATGACATTATTTCAGAAGACAGCACTTTGAATTAGCATGATCACTTTTAAAGAATAAGATTTGAATTTTCACTTCCTTTATGAATAGTTCTTGAATTAAATTCAAGAGATTTAAAATGTGTTGCCATGAATTAAATGGAATTGAATAAAACGAACTTTATAAGACAGAAAAGAACAGAAGCTTACAGTACAGAAAAACTCATTAAGCCAGAGTTCTATACTTAATAATGTCTGAGTTAAAGGAACTTAATGTAGATACCTCAAATAATCCACTCTTCGGATGGCGCCACCGAAGATCAACATATGCTCTCATCCTCTCATTTCAGTGTTTGAACTCTCTGCAGATACAGCATATATAGAATCATTTCTTTTTGTTCATTTGTTGTGTTTGGAGATAGGATCTCGCTGCAACCCAGGCTTGTCTCAGGCTCACTATGCAGCCCAGACTGGCCCCTGACACAACAGTTTTCTTGCCCCAACCATAATGCCTGGCTACAATCTTGACTTACTATTTTAAGTTTCCTCCAAACTCTTATTTACTTGCTGATAATTCAGCATGTTAGATGTTTTTCTTTTCCACTCTATGATTTCTATTTTGTGTCTTGTTTTAGGCTGAGTCAAAGAAAGACAGCTAAACTTGTATCAGTCTGTTTCATTTCTTTAAGAGGCCTTGGTAGGGGGTTGGGGAAATATTGAGAGAAAGAGGTTGAAATTAATAAAGAAGATTAGATTTTGAGATTGGGTTACAAACGCCATCTTATTATTTTGAAAAACTAGGTGTGTGTGGCTTTATCAACTATGAAGCCTAGAGCAAACATTTTACTATGTTACCTAAGAGGTCTGAATACTAGTCCTTAGTCAGCTAGCTCCAGGACTGATGTACAAAGACAAGATTGAACAATTCTTTGGTGTTTTCTGGTGACTATATTTGAAATCTGACTTAGGAAAGCCGAGTCATTATTTTTATTCTTTGTGTGCATATGTGTGTGTGCATGCACACGTGAGTGCTTGTATGTATGAGTATAGGCATATGTGTGCCTCAGTGCATGTGTGGAGGTTAGAGGACACACCCAGGTATCAGTTATTGCCTTCCATCTTATATGAGATAGGGTCTCCTGTTTCTTCTTCATTTCTCATGTCTCCATAGAAACACTCAAGTTGCCCAGGATTACTTTTTTGAAAAACAATGTGTACTTTTTTTGAAAAATTTAGTTTTCATGAGTTCTGGAACACCAAACTCAGGTCATCATGTGCCATAAACATTTTATTCATTCAACTATCTCCCAAAAAGGAAAAGAAGGTATTCAGTCTCCTTCTCCATGTATATATTGACCTTCAGTCCCCTGTTCCTGGCCACCAACTCTATCAACTACAGTAATACACATTACCGTGCCACACCGTCTTCATGGTCAGGGATGACTGTCAATGCTTCTTTACTCTGCCTGGCTCTGGAAGTTGTCAAGTGATGCCTTTATTTGTTCACTGTCTGGCCCCAGGCAAAACATTCTCAGGCATCAACCCTGCCCTTACCAATAAGTACATAAAAACTACCTGACTGTGGAAAAGTTAGAAAGAAATCAGGTCAGGCCTTTGAGAACTCTTATCCTGACATAGTGTCACTGATACAGAAAAACATAAAGGACACACAGATAACAGGATACATTTTAAACACAATACTTTGTCTACCTTTAACAGACATCTGGGCATACTAGCCACAAGTCTGGTCCTTTAAAAAGAAAAGATGTCTTTCTGGCTATGCAAACATATGCAGCATTCAGAGAGCTTTGTGCCTACTGCAGATAGAAAATCTCATGGAAGATCTGAACCCAGAGAATTTGCCACATACCAAATGAAGAGGAAGGTGATGCAAAGCATCAGCCTATAGAATGATTTTATATTTAAAAATTATAAAGCTTATACTTGAAAATGTAGTATTCCAAGTTTATATTATTGATTACTTAATTCCCCGTGACATTCTGGTGAAAGCTTCACTACTAATTCTGTTGGTTCTTTGCATAGATCCTTCCTAGCTCTGTACGATGTAGACCATTGATGTGATAAAACCTACCCATCTCTGCCCACATTGCTGAAAATTGTAGATATTTTCTAAGCTGAGATAATCAACTCTTTGTTTTCTTTTTTTCCCCGGGAGACTCTTGAGATATCAGTACAATCTTCCCAGAACATTTTAATGTATCTAGTAATTATATTTTTCAAAGCTAGTCAATGTATGACAGCATACAAAGATCTTTCCATAGCTAATAATAATTTCATAAAGTTAGCTGATGTGTGGCATAGCATGAAAATTATTCAAAAATTTTGTTACTTAGGAAGTTGGAATTTTTGTGACACTTTAAAATAAATAAAATGATTGCATTGCAATGTTGCATACCATCTCCGCATACACTGAGATGGTTATTGGAGCTTTGTTCTACACAGAATTATATTGGACAAATCTGTCAAGCTTTCCTTGCCTTACTGAACTGATGACAGCCCTTCATACTAATCTTTCCTTAATATTGAGACCATTTTATAAAGACTTCCCGCATTCCAGCTAAAATATGCACACATGCTTTCCTATCTTTCTACAGCCATTGGAATTACATGTTGCTTTATTACAAAAAGCAAACTATTGATGAAGACAGTCCCAGAAACTTTCACATGCTCATTACACAGTTTATCACCCTGGTATGAGTTCCTGAGATTTTTCAGTCTACCATTCACTCTCACATTTACTTATTATGCACAGCATTTCTTAGCATACGTGAAATATTTTTCCTCTAGTGTGACTGTTAACTACCACTTTTCCTAGTGATGCAATGAGATAAAAATAACCTCTCTATAATCCAAGGAAGGAAGCAAAATATGGTCAGTAGATTTATTGTAAAAATTTTCCACGTATGTATGGCTATTCATTTGAGATTAAATTGATATTACTTCATGTATAGGTGTAGACCTCAATTTTTATCCTATGAAGAGGTAAATGATATAAAATGCTTCTTTTTCATGGTGGCAAGTCGTGGCTGACCCCTCAGGCTGGTGGCTCCTTTTACACATCAAGTTAGAAATTCCATTTCAGAAAACAGAGCATGAAGTGTGACCATGCTATTCATTGTATTGATCAGGGTTTTAGGGAAAGCTGATTAGCTTTCTTCTTCCTTTGCTCTTTTCTGGTTATCTTTAGTTGTGCCATATTAATCTCTCTGTAAAAATAGGTAAATAATATCCCTCCCACTTGTTTGACAATAAATAAGGATAATGTTGAAATGCAAATAAGGGAAACTACTTGAAATGTATATTAGTCTAGTTCAAAAGGAAATAGAAAAGAGCTATTTTTAGACTTTAATCAATGTATAGTTTGGCACAGATTTATAGATTTTAGTTACTTTTATTCCTAAAATGCAGTTCTATTTTTGCAAGATAAATTGTTTTGTTGCATTGTGAGTTTTTCTTTTACATTGAAATTAAACCTAATAGAGGCCAAGTCTTTCTAGTGGCATGGAAAAGCAAGTTTTTCTTATGGACTCTCTATGCTTGGGGTTTGTTAATTGATTGGTTTATTTTCATTTTTTCCCAAAGACAATAGTAAAAATTACACAGAAGGTACATACACAGTATTTGTTTTTGTTTTGATGTAGCCATTTTTCTAAAGCTCTTCTTTTATATTGCAGTTACCTGTGGCAGATCCCATTAACCCTTGTGGTAGGAAATAGGAGCCATGTGTCTTCAGAAGCAATTATTTGGGTGTCTAACAAATCAGGTAATATATAAATTCTCCCCGTAGGAACTGTTTGCTTTCAGATAATTGTCTAGTAACTTAACCTCAGATCAGCAGTTACAGCATGTGAATGAAGACAAACTGTAAAGAGAAAAAATACAATAATGATAACCACTTTTACAAAATTAGGCATAATATGGTTTCTAAATAGTATAATGCTAATAGTGTAATATGAAGAATGTTGAAGCAGAGGCCTCATTTTTTACCTCACTCTCCGGATACCTTTGTCTCTTCAAGAGATGAGAGAGGCAATATTCTTACACGGAATTAGGTAATTGTAGGGCCAGTTGGAAGGGCTTAGGCAAGTCATCAAACCACCTCCTAGGTAGAGTCAAGCCTCAAGGAGCAGAGAGCGATAAGACTCCATTCTCTTTCTAAATATCTTCAAATAAGATAGTGACCTATTTCAATTTACTGTCAGAAAGCTATTTATTCAATACAATCTATAGTCTTCATGCTAGAATGTGAAATGGGTTCCTTTTATTTCTGTTTCCCATTGATTTAGAGAAAAAGACAATTATTTCTTCTATAACATTTCATTTAAAATGTTCTTGTGTGTTTATATTTTGGTTTTCTTACCCATTCCTACAGTCTATAATTAATTTAGATTATTTTGCTATTTTGTAGGAATCATTTCAAACAGTTACAATTTTTAAATTTTCAGGTAAGATTAGGCATAAATAAACATGTGGCAGGTCTTGCTAGTATAATGGATCTGTAAGTGCTCAAAATTCATAGACACACACACACACACACACACACACACACACACACAAGAAAAAAATCCTAGTGAAAAGTCTCAATTTGTTCTGAGAAATATTACACTCAGAGAGGATTTTTTGCTCAGATGTTTACTCAAACACTGTTGTAATATTACCACACACTCATATATTATAAAACACATGTTTTCCCTTATATACTTTGTATATAAAATATGCATATATAATCTAATGCAGTGAAATGTTTCCTTTAACATTTATTGGTGCTTTTTACTTTTAGATAACGTAATTCTGTCCTATTCATTTATACCATGGTTCAGAGTCAATACCACGTTAAGTATTTTTACATTTCACTCATGTAGTTGTTGTATTTATTAGTTCATTATGAAATTATGGGTGAGAATACTGAGTTGTTACTGTGATGCTCCAACTGCCACCAGGAAGTCATCTCCCCATAAGACAGCAAGGAGGGTAGGACAGGCTGATCTTCAGAAACTAAACAAAATATTTATCTTTGGAAGGTAGTAAGAAAAGGTAAAAAT